GGGTTTAGGGTTTAGGGTTTCAGGGTTTAGGGTTGAGGCTTTAGGGTTTAGGGTTCAGGGTTTAGGGTTCAGGGTGTAGGGTTTAGGGTGTAGGGTTTAGGGTTGAGGCTTTAGGGTTCAGGGTTCAGGGTTTAGGGTTTAGGGTTCAGGGTTTAGGGTTTAGGGTTCAGGGTTTTTCCACAGCACAGTCGGCGCCTCGGTTCCTGGCATATGCATAGTCCAGGTGTAAAAGGGTTTAGGGTTTCAGGGTTCAGGTTTAGGGTTTAGGCTATATAGGGTTGCAAAGTGTTTAGGGTTTAGGGTTTGGGGGGCCCAGAAAAGCTTAAGGTAACATACTGTTGATGATATAAATGCTGCATTATCGTAAGGGTCCTAAACTATGGGAATTATGGTCTATTCCTTATCATGGGTAATGCAGGATTTACATCATCAACCGTATCAGGCCCATAAAGCTTGTCAGGTAATATATTAGGGCCCATAAAGCTTAATGTAATTTATCAGGGCGCAAATAGTCCCCACCATTATTCCTTAGCGTTCCTGGTTATGATGACAAGAGTTTCCAAGACCCTATTCTCCGTTTGTAAGGCGCCCTAATTATATACATCACAGAGTCAACCCTCGTAGATTTAATGGTTTTGTGTTTAGAGTAATCCTAGAATCCTACATCGGAACCCCTTATACAGGCCCCCTTCTTCATCTTAGCCCAGAGACTCCAATATCCCTTCATTAAGGAATATTCCTTAAATTAAAGTAGGAGCCCTAATAAGATTTAAGGTATATTCCCTAATTAAGGGATATTGGAGTCTCTGGGTTCTTCATCTTAGCCCCACGATTGTTCGCAGGCAGGGAAAGAGCGGCTCCATGAATCGATCGGAGCGGTCGATGTCCAGTCCGTCCAGGGGCGACAGCACACCCCGGCTGCTTGGCGACCTCCTGGGCTTGAGAAGCTTCGCTTTGGGCCATTCAGGGTATTATAGGGCTCAGTCAGTCACACAGTGTGTGCGTACATATAATATGAATATATATATATATATTATATTTATATTTAGATTTAAGGGTTTATAACCTTATAGCGGCTTATAGCATTAGGGCGCAGGGTCAGGCTGTGTATATGTTTTTAAGGTCCAGGGTTCGGAGGAAGCTTGAGCCTCCAGTCGAGACGATGCCCCAGAGACTCCAATATCCCTTAATTAAGGAAAAAACCTTAAAAGCCTTAAAATTAGAATAGGAATCCTAATAAGATTTAAGGTAT